AATTTATTAAAATTATTTTGTTGGCTAATTTAAAGGCTGCAATGTGCATGTTGATCAACTCAAGTCCTCAAATTGTTTCAGCCAATAAGCAGTTCAAAGTTTGCATAAGTAAAAGTTTGTAGGTAAAATTCACATAGTTGTTTCAATATGTTCGATAATTGACAGAGTGTTAAGTCAATATGTCCGTTAATCAAGTATAACAGGATAATTGATATACTCTTATCAATATTGATTAGCTTTCATATTTAATGGACTTCATCAAAGAACTAGCTGGAACTGCATATGATATTTTATTGGCTTAAACAAATTCTGAGCTCATTCATTACTCCATTAAGATCTTAGGCCTTTCAAGCTTGATTTTTAGACCCGGAAGACCTCCAATTCAAGCCGTATTTCCCCTAGTTCAGTTCTGATTTATCAACTCATTAATATCTGCCATATCACTAGAGTATGCACAACAATTTGTCACAGTGTGGAGCTATGCGTACTACTTAAAGCTTTTGTATTTAGCGCCAAACTTCAAAGAATTCCTGGAACTTTAGAGCTCTGCTGCTGCTGCGAATGCCATAGAGCTCACACAGGCCATAGAGCTCAGTCTATGTCTATGTGTGCTTTGGTTTTGGTTGCATTTATGATTACAGCAATGCGACAACCAAGACGACAACAACAACAACAACAATAACGATACCGGCGATAAATGTTGTATACACATATGAAAAGAGTTGCAAACTGCTGCTGCTGCTGATGATGATGATGATGATGATGGACTAGCTAGCCTCAGTCTAACTTGTGACTGCCTCAGCTTGGCTTACATTGTGCGGGCAGGTTACATTGTGTTTGTGCTGCTATCGGTTGGCTGCCGCTTGAATGTGTTTAAATTGAAAATTCCCGATTTGCACACAGTCACAGATGCGCTTAATTTGCACCTCTCCAAATGCATAAAAAGCAAAGACCGGACCGCGGACATGCAGCAGCAGCAGCAGCAGCAGCAACACCAGCCTCAGCCTCAGCAGCAGCAGCAGCAACAAGAGCCGGCCAAGCGTAGCGGACTTCTAGCCAGAGTCACGGCTGGCAATAGTACGCTTGAAACGTCTGTGGCCACGGATACGCCATGGCTGTAACTTGCAACGACCTGGCGGCCAAAGCGGCTACACTCGCCTTTAATGGCCTGAACGGACCTGCGGCTCTTCTGGCTCTGACTGCGGCTCTAAGTCTGGCTCTGACTCTGACTCTGACTCTGGGTCTGAGTCTGGTTGTGGCTCTGCTTGATTGCCATTACCGGCTTGCCATTGTTAATTTATTAAGTGGTTACCTTTGTTGTCGCCTCGCTGGCAATACAATTGAAATTGCTGGAGCTCTCTTTCCCCCTCTCTGTGCCACTCTTTGTTTATGTGTTAATGTTGTCCCGCCATGGACTTGGCCAGAACAATGAACATTTGCTAAGTGCTGCCCACGCAGCCGCAACACGTTGCACGCCGCACGCTGCAAAGCCGCCGCAAGTTGACAAAGTATTCAACATTTGGCCAGCACAGCGGGCGTCTAATCGCATCGATCGTGGCGTTCAATGGACCTGGCCAAGATTCATTGAACGCAATCGATGCGGCATGTTTTGACATAAGCGCCACCATCAATCCCAATGTCTGATGCACTAATTCTCTCCTCTCTCTCTCTCGCTCTCCCTTTCTCTGTTGCAGTCCCACGGCGATCGAACGGATGACGAGATGCGCGACTGCGACTCCGTAGACGGTGAACATCATCAGCTGAGCGCCAAGGCGGCAATCGCAGCTCGACTCAGTCACACAGTCGCCGGCGGCGCTGGCCTCAACTTTGCCAGTCCAGAGCAGCAAACAGATCTGCCACTCAGGTGAGTTTGCCTTAGCTGTACACATACATACACACACACATACATATTAGCTTGATCAGCTACATTATCCATCTGTTTCAATTGTCATTCTTCTGCTTGTGACAGCCATCATCATCAACTGCCGCCGAATCATCCGCTCAACGCTCTGGGCAGCTTCATGGGCATCGGCGGACTACACAGCATTCCAAATCTCCAGCACAGCGACGTGCTCGAGAAGCTCAAGATGCAAGTGCGCGACATGAAAGTGGGCCTCATGGTGAGTGTCAAAGAAATTAGAACTGATCTAGTATTTGTGGATCGCAAAGGGTGCGGCGAAAGCTAAATGTGCAAGAGAGAGGGGCGAAGGGGTATATAGGAAACTTAAAAGTTAGACATAAGTTAAAGACGGTTTATAGAGCGTCTAGTATATGAAGATAAAACTCCAACAATTTCATATGAGATTATTTGCTGTTTATAATAAAACTGTTAGTTAACAAAAAATATATATACTTGCAATAAATATTTTTGAAAATTAAATAAAAATATATATAAAAAAAATAAAT